AGCTATATTTACCATTGTGTAGTTAGCTACATCGTTGGATTTTTCACTATCCGAGGAAAAATTTTTTAACAGTTTTATTGAAATGTTCTTATTCTTGTGGAAATAGTGAAGGATCAAAGGAAGTTTTAATATTTCTCTTATTAGATGCATCTGTTAGAATAGCATATGGATGCCCACCATTCAAATCGTCTAGAATTGACCTCTAGGATTCAAGCACTAAAAAGCTTGTGATAGACTTGCTTATTTTTGTTCTACCACAAGATTTGCACTTATATTGGAGTCGTTAAATATCATTGAAAAGATTCGACCCACATTGTGATGATATATCTCTGTGATTGTTTAACTACATGATAGTTGAATACGATTTCCGCAACTGTAGTTACATCTGTATTACTTATTATTTTTTAAGAATATTTTTGTATTGCAATCGATGTTGATATACTCCCCTGTACTGACTTATATGAATAAAATGATTCTGATTTTTTATTGGATAAAAATAAAACAGGATAGAAAGAAATTTACAACTGGACATGTTTTTCAAATAAATATTTAAAATTTATTTTATATAAAAATAATCAATTACTGTCTCTCAAAGCTATTACTTATATATTAAAAACGTTAAAATACTAAATAAAAAAATTGCGGTAGTTTTGCGGGAAAAAGATGTCTGCGTGAACTAAAAAATTGCGGGAGTCTCCCGCTGATAGGGGGAGACATGGCAACCCTGCTTAGTAGGTGTATAGAAATTATACATTATTGAATAGGTTTTGTGACCTAGGCAAGTTAGAAATAAGAAACGTTTTTATGTCTCTGTAATTTTTATGATCTACAAAAATTTTAAGCCTAGATAAACATGTTTCTAAATCTACTCCCTCTTGTAATGCTATTTGAACATTTGTATTTATCTCCATTTTTTAATTCGCAGAGCCAATATGTTGTGTTAAGACTGAGAAGTAAAAGAATTTTAATCAGTAAAATTTTGAAGTAAAACAATGACTTTATTTTAAATACTTGTTCATTTATAGACAAAACTTAATATGACAGGCGTGTAACCAATGGGGGGGAAAGGGGGAAATTTCCCCCGCCCATCGCAAATTTGACTATTTTCATAAATATCATTTTAAGCTAATAAAAATTTTACCCCTACCCCCCAGACCCCCCCCCCCCCCCCCCCAGTCAAAATTTTTCAAATATTTGAATATCAATTTTCCAACATATTATTCAAAAATATTAATAAAATGGAAAAATATTTAGTCAAAGAGATTGAAATCAAACGATAATTTATAAATAAGGTTGAGCATGAAAAAAAATAATGTGTCGTTAGCAGCGATATCATTATTGAATTCAATTGATCAATCAGAGTTTTTCATTGCTGCTAGTTGCATCAATAAATTATTTTCCTATAGCTCACTACTTTGTAGAAATTTACAAAAACCAATTTAGATTTGGTTCAGGTTATTGATTTGGCGGAAAATATACATGAACAGGTAGATACAATAAGAATGAATGTAGACGTTGAATCGAAGGCTAAATTTTATGATATAATACTAATTAAACCTCGTCTAGCACCTAGGCCATTATTGAGATGAAAATAAATATAGGCTCAACTGAAGAAGATTATAAAATATCCATTTTCATCCCATTCTTAGATACTTTTTTATCGCAAATAAAAGTACGGGTTTTAGATAAAAAACAAGTCTTTAGCAATCTTCAAGTTTTATTACCCAAAGATCCTTCTTCATTTTCTAATGCCACTATTGGTAAAATTAAATATTTAGAAAAATTTTATTCCTATGAGATTGATACTGAAATAAATTTAATCAGTGAATTCGAATTGTGGTATAAATATTTATACGTTTAGCTATTTTACCTGAGCATGCTATTGATGCGCTCAATCGGTGTAAAGAAACCTTGGCTCAATTTCCTAATATTTCGAAGTTGTTTTATATTCTTGCATGTATGCCTATTACAACATGTACGAATGAAAGGACTTTTTCCAACTTGAGAGGGTTGAAAACATATTTACGAAGTACTGAATCTCGGCTAAATGGGTTAGCTCTGTTAAATATACACAGAGATTTGGTTCCAACGACAAACGAAATAATTAAAAATCTTGTATTTGATAAGAAGTTAAAAAAAACTTGTTAATTTAATTATTTTCTAGTCAATATTTTAAACTACTACTAGTATTTTCAATAAAAAAATTATATTCTACTTATATTGTATGAGAATTTAAGCTGAGGCTAGTTTTTAAAGCAAATTTTATAAAAAAAATGACATTACACTTTATTTCAACTTTACATTTAAAAACACTTTATTAAATATAATATACCTATCTTGAAATAATAAAAAAGAGGCATGTAATATCCTATCCATAATCACGAATTAGTAAATAATAGTTAAAAATAGAAATATAATTAAATTATGAATAATTTAATAGAATAGCTAAATAAGACCCGGCCGTAGGCCGGGGGAAAGCTGGCCGAAGGCCAGGTAAAGGGGGTTTGGGGGCGAAGCCCCCAAAATTTTTTTCCCCCCTATAAGAAAATCCTGGATACGCCACTGTAATATGTAAATTTCTTAAACAAAGTGATAAACATAATATATATTATAAAACATGTTAAATTAAAATTTCTATGTAGATGAACCATAGAAAAATGATAATTAATTTAAATCCCGCCATTAACCCAGAAATAAGAATTTTCATGATTGAAATCATTAACATATAAATATGTTTAAAAATTCTTATTAAATATCTATTAAGGGTTAAGAAATATGACAAAAAATCTATTCAAATTATGAGGTGTATGTACAATAATAAAACTTAGAACGTTATTTAATCTCCATAATCAAAACATGATCGTTTTCGTATCTTCCTAATGTATTTTAAATTTAAGGAGACTATATAGTGTAATGTTATTTTTTGCTCTCTACGAGACTCGAACCACAAACCTCCCGTTTCAAAGGCGTATGTTTTAAGCATGCACCAACTTGAACATAATTTAAACTAAAATATTAATTATATATATATTAATTAATAGCTGATATTTTTAAAATTTTTCCATTTATTGCTATAAATACCTGAAGGTGTTGAAGGGTAATATTTTAGTTTGTGTATGGTACTAAATATACTTTATTAATAAATTTTATATAAATATTAAAATTTAGGAGAAAAAGAGGTAAAATTGTTGCAATATATACCGTGAGAATGAATTAGAAATATCAAAATTTAAATTTGTGATGGAAATCGTATTGAATAAAATTTAAAATAGAAAAGCTTTAAGATTTTTGAACTTTAAATATGGATTTTATACATTGGCCTGAAAATTTTTTTTTGCAGACATAGCCAGGCCTGATCAAAAAACCAAGTCCTATGCAACTTTCATAAAATTTTGCCATTTATTTTTATTGTTATTTAATAAAAATGTCTAAAATTTAATTTTATATTTAGAATAAAATTTAGATTTGTGATAAATATCATATTGGGTTATAAAATAGAAATGCTTGAAAATTTTTTTATTTTAAATATGGACTAGACATTGACCTGAAAATTTTTTTTTGCAGAAATCGCCAGGCCTGATTAAAAAACCAGGCACATGCAACTTTCATATTCTGATTTTTTTAAATGAATTATAACTTTTATATATTTTATTTCAGTTCTCAACTAACAAAATTATTATGGTCTTTGGAGGATTTGAGAAAATTTTCCCAACAATATGTTTTTCAGAGATTCACCTATCTCCAGGCTTGGAAAAAATTACAAAATTATGGGTTGGCCAGGTTTGAGAAAAAAACTTTCAGGCCAATGTCTGGTCCATATTTAAAATTAAAGAATTTTCGAACATATCTATTTTAAATTTTACCCAATATGATTTCTATCACAAATTTAAATTTTATTCTAAATATAAAAAAAATTTAAGATATTGTCATTAAATTACAATAGAAATAAATGGAATTTAAAATTAAATTTAAGACATTATTATATATAAATAAATGGCAAAATTTTATGAAAGTTGCATGGGACTTGGTTTTTTGATCAGGCCTGGCTATGTCTGCAAATAAAAATTCAGGTTAATGTCTACCCCATATTTAAAATTAAAAAATTTCCAAGCATCTCTATTTTAAATTTTATTCAATATGATTTCTATCACAAATTTAAATTTTATTCCAAATATAAAATAAAATTTAAGACATTATTATTAAATTACAATAGAAATAAATGGAAAAATTTGGGGAAAGTTGCATGGGACGTGGTTTTTTGATCAGGCCTAGCTGTGTCTGCAAAACAAAATTTTGAGACCAATGTCTAGGTTACATTTAAAATTTTTGAAGAATCTCTATTTTTAATTTTACTCAATATGATTCCTATCACAAATTTAAATTTTGATATTTCAAATACCCTTAATACTCACGGGTTACATTGCAACAATTTTATCTCTATAAACAAACTAACTAATTACCCCTCACCCCGTCATTCTTGACGGGTTATTAGCTAGTAATATAATAAATACCATCAAATAACGATATCAAATATAACAATCCTGTGTTAACTTGCATTTTTTAAATTTTTTACCAGTAAAATATTTAAATAAAAAAAATAGATATTAAAAGTTTTTTAATTCTTATTTTTACAATAAAAAATACCATACCTCATTCTATTCGATAATTTGGTTAATTAACTAGAAAAAAATAATGTTCCATCAAGTTTGAACGTAGTCTTAGCCCAGAATTACACAGCGGGGAAAAGATACATTGCTACACAAATAACAATAAATCTATATCTACGAAGGATACTATTTAAAAATGTAGATCTTGTTATATACAATATACATCACTATTATTATATACAAAACTTTATTTATTCTTGAAATAATAATAATTACCAATCCAACAAATATAATCATCAGAAAATAAAATGCATTAAAAATTTTCTACAAAAAAATTTTGATGATTTTTCTTTTTCTACACATTGACTTCATATATTACCAATACATATATATATGAAGGATATATTTAGGCATAAGGTAAGATATTTAAATAAATTCTAGCAATTATTGAAAATGAAACTCAAAAAAATACAATAATTATTTTTTAACCAAAAAATTAACACATTTAATATCAAATAAACAACTATCAATTTTTAATAAAATTAAGCAAATATTTTAACAGCCTAATTATTTCTTTGAATCTTCCTTTAATGAAACGCATCTATTGAAAACCATCTAATAAATGAAACATAATTTTATTAAAAAGATATTATATTAACAAAAACATATAAAATTTAATTAAAGGAAATTACTTGTGAACAAAAATGAATCTTGCCAAAATATATATATTTTTAAAATTCATAATTTTGGGATTCCCTTACAAATCTTTAAAAGTATAAATTTTCCAAACTAAATACTTTTTCAAGTTTGGAATCAGGGTCTACGCTGAAGTAACCCACTCGTTCGAATTGAAATTTATCGAAATTGGAGGAACCCTTGACGGATTTGTCTGCCAAAGCATGGGGCATCGTTTTGACAGAATTCTTGGTTTCAAATAATAAATATAAAAAAAACAATCTAATATAAATAGCAATCGTTCAAAATTAAATATCAATTTAATGATAGGAATATCAAACTGGAATTTAAATGTATTCAGGAAGTCCGAGACATACTTTGTTTAACATTTAATAAATATAATTTAATAAAATGTTAAAATAAATATTAAAAAAAAAATCAACTGGATTGATATCGGATAAAAAGCCGTCAGGAACTTGAGTCAAATTATCAGGGTTCTTGTGTATAAATCTTTATAATGAAAATATTAAAAAATATCAAATGTTAAAATAAATAATACACAGGACTCTCGATTGCATTGATATAAGATAAGAAGCGTTTTAACAAGATATTAGGTATTTTACGCATTCCTCATCCTTTATTAAGAATGAAATCAAATATGCACTGATATCCAAAATGTATCGGCCTGATAGTTTCGACCTATACATTTTATTCTTTTTGACAACTCTAAACTATTCAACCATTTAAAAGTTAGTTCAATAATTTATGGATAAAATTTTGCACTAAAAAAATATTTTTCCTTGCAAAATAGTACTAAACATTTTTATAATTTGTCGTTAAAATTGTCGGTTCTTTAGACCATTTAAATTTATAAAATGATTAAAAAGGTACCACTCTTGTGCTCCTTTGTTTTTAAAATATAAATAAACTTATAACCTTTTTCGTTTTCTTATAAGAAATAAAAATTATATTTTTTTTGACTGTTCATTTGTTTCTTTATTTAAATGATAAATGATATAATATATAGATGCAATTAATAAAATCGAAAAATATAGATATAGAATTTAGGAAAAGGGATTTAAAAAGTAAATAGTATAACTAAATATAGGCGAAAAATATAGGAAAAGGGATAAGAGATTAAAATAGAGAATGTCTAAAAAAGTAATTAGTATAGAAACTAAGAATAAGAAGGAAAGAGTAAGTATAAGGAAGCATGGTAGATTATTCATCGGATGAGATAAAACTTAGATAATTGGATCGAATTTATAAATTATCCGTTTGAATGGCGCATTACAATCCAAAAGAAAATAAGAAAGTCAAATTTTTATTTTATCTCATCACAATTATTACATAAATTTAGATAAAATATGTTGTTAATTTTATGTTTCTAAGTAATTTTTATATAATTATCGGTGTCACGTACCGGTTCGACACCCGGTAGTATTAATAGGCAAAAATTTCAAATCGGTGGAATTTTTAATATACCATTTTTAAAAGTGGGATTAAAAACTCCGAAAAATGTCAGTAGAACACTTAATTAGTCAATTTCCATTATACATTCATAAGCTTTTTAATATTAAATACTATAGGTGCAGTGAAATTAGTATGTTCTTAAGGTAAATAATATTTGTACAATTTCGATACTTAATGTTATATTTATATAATTTACAATTTTTCGTATAATCGTATTTCGCACAACATGGGATCAGATACCCAGTGGATAAAAGATTTTGGTTTCTCATAGGCTACAGCCCGTGCTTTGACTTTCAATTGACTGATTACATTTTCTTTGCTGGGAAACTAGCAATAGATATATACAAAAATAATTATTTTCATCTGTTGGGAATCCCCGATTAAACATATTTCGTTAATAATAAATACAAAGTATTTCATATATTACTTTATAATATATATAATACATCATTATGTATTTATTGTTAAGCATTACTATAGATATTACAACATCATTATCTCTATGAAAAGAGCAGGGATCCAAACCGAACCTAAACCGAACCGTTAAAAACCGGTATTTTTTTATAAAACCTGAATCGAACCTAAACCGCTAAAAAAAATCGAACCTGAACCGAACCGCTAAATTGTCTCTGAACCGGTTCGAGTCTCATGATTTTAGGCTTATAAAATAATATGTAAGTTATTATTAGATTTCAATTATATTCGAATTATTTTAAAGATTATCATCAATCACATTTGATTGATAAGTGTCGGTCATAATTTTTATAAACTTTAGTATAATGTCATTTTACAACATTTTTTAATATTTTAAGTTTATAAATTATAATGCTTAGAGAAAAATTAAATCCAAAATATTATTATAAATGACATATCAAATCTGATATCATATTGGCAGTGCCGGCTACTCAAGTTAGTGTGGAAAGATTTTTCAACAATTAAATTGCTATCTCATTATAGATGTAATTTGAGTGAGCCGAGTTTTGAAAATATATTAATTGTGCGGCTTAATAAAAAAAATTTAAGTAAAAAAAGGAAAATGTTCATATTAAAATTAATTTGATATATATTTTATATTTATAAATTAAATATCTATATATATAATCCTCAAAAAATGTCAATCAAATTTAGCCAATAGTTTTCTTTTAAATATTATTTGTATAATCAAAATGATTATAGCAGTCACAGTCACAACTGTGACATTATATAGTCAATTATTTTACCTGATAATAGTCAATTATAATTTTGTTAATATATTATGTAATATTCAACTTCTTTATTAATTATTGGACGTTTGTTCTACTTAAATAGGGAGTGATTCTTAATAATATTTAATTAATATTAACATATTCGGAAGTATTTAAGTTATGTTAAATTAGCGCCATCTATAATATTATCTTTTATTTTAAATAGAATTATATTTCTAAGTTGAAATGTAAATATTTTGTCTTAATTGATGTCAAATATATTGTTCTTTCTATATATCTATAATTTATCTATCTATCTATCATAGCAATTTTAAGCCAATTTAGATCATATTAGCAAAATGGATTTAATCTCCTATAAATCATGGAAAGCATTTCAGAAGTATTTTGAGGCAATAGGCAGGAAGGAACATTAGTATGAAAAAAATGTTTGCAGATAATCCTACAAGAGCTAAGGAATTCAAATCTATAATATATATATATTCAATAAAAATCATCATAGCTTAAACATATCAAACAAGCATTCATAAACCAAATCGAACCGCCATTTTCAAAAAAATAATTTCAATACAAAAAACAATTACAAAACATATAATAATATAATAATTACAATAATTGATATTTTTTTTAACAGACACAACATCGAGCAAAACCTTCAATCATCAGTAAATAATTATATTTTTTAACAGACACCACATCGAGCAAAACCATATACTTTCAATTTACACATCTTAATCTTGAAGATACTGAAAATCAAGAACAAGTTGAACATTACTGTGGGCCATTAAAATCTATTTTATTATTTTTTTTCTAGATTCCTACACAAGATACCATTCAACAAAACCAAACAATGGAACGTTTCATACTACCAAAATCTAAAGAAGGCATTATTGCTTCAACAAGAGTAAATTTTATATTTTTTTAAATTTGTATTGTATGTTAGCTGATCAGATTTTTCCTACCTTATAAGATGTGATTCCGAAATATATATTTATTAGGTGAGGGGCTATTCTAATATTTTTCATTATTTTTTATAAATATGTTTATGAAGTATATATTTAGTAATTTTATTTTATGTCCACAATAATAAATATTTTAAACTAAACTTATTTTTATAAAATTGAGTAATTCTTATATTTTTAAATTTTAATAATAAATCAACATAAGGAGAAAGCTAGAAAGAACAGGCACTTTGTCGTATCAAGAAAAGGAACGAGCAAAGTCTTATTCCTACAACATCCAACCATCTTGAAGATACTGGAAATAAACAATTTGCTTCAACATCCAATCATCTTGAAGATACTGAAAATCAAGAACAAGTTGAACATTACTGTGGGCCATTAAAATCTATTTTATTATTTTTTTTAGATTCCTACATAAGATACCTTTGGTGCAATATCTAAGTATAATTTTTTCAGTGATCATATATCAATAAAAACAAATCAAGTTAAAAATTTTAATTTATGACAATAAATAAATTTATTTAAATTAGATTCCAATCATATTGCCGAAATGTGCCATTCAACGGACTCTTAATCTACCCAAATCAATAAAAACAGAAGTTAAAAAATTTAATTTATGTTATCAAATAAATTTTTTAAAATTAGATTCCACGATATATATTACCGAAATGTACCATTCAGCATAATCTTAATCTACCAAAATCAATCAAAATAAACCAAGTTAAAAATTTTAATTTATCTTAATAAATTAATTTTTTTAAATTAAATTCCACGAATCATATTACCAAAATGTACCATTCATTCAACAGAATCTTAATCTACCCAAATCAATAAAAACAAACGAAGTTAAAAATTTTAATTTATAACATCATCTTCAAAAACGAAACCACCTGAGCAAAGAAAAGAGAACTTCTTCACCATCGCTAAACCATCTTCCTCACCAACAACAGTATATTCTATTTTATAATTTCAATTTACACGTTTTATTTCAGGTTATTTACGGCAAACTACGAACAAGGAAATCACAACATCATCTTCAAAAACGAAACCACCTTGAGCAAAGAAAAGAGAACTTCTTCACCATCGCTACCAACAACAGTAAATTCTATTTTATAATTTCAATTTACACGTTTTTTTTCAGGTTATTTACGGCAAACTACGAGCAAGGAAATTACAACATCATCTTCAAAAACGAAACCAACTTGAGCAAAGAAAAGAGAACTTCTTCACCATCGCTAAACCATCTTCCTCACCAACAACAGTATATTCTATTTAATTTCAATTTACACGTTTTATTTCAGGTTATTTACGGCAAACTACGAGCAAGGAAATCACAACATCATCTTCAAAAACGAAACCACCTTGAGCAAAGAAAAGAGAACTTCTTCACCATCGCTAAACCATCTTCCTCACCAACAACAGTATATTCTATTTTATAATTTCAATTTACACGTTTTATTTCAGGTTATTTACGGCAAACTACGAACAAGGAAATCACAACATCATCTTCAAAAACGAAACCACCTTGAGCAAAGAAAAGAGAACTTCTTCACCATCACTACCAACAACAGTAAATTCTATTTTATAATTTCAATTTACACGTTTTTTTTCAGGTTATTTATGGCAAACTACGAGCAAGGAAATTACAACATCATCTTCAAAAACGAAACCAACTTGAGCAAAGAAAAGAGAACTTCTTCACCATCGCTAAACCATCTTCCTCACCAACAACAGTATATTCTATTTCAATTTACACGTTTTATTTCAGGTTATTTACGGCAAACTACGAGCAAGGAAATCACAACATCATCTTCAAAAACGAAACCACCTTGAGCAAAGAAAAGAGAACTTCTTCACCATCACTACCAACAACAGTAAATTCTATTTTATAATTTCAATTTACACGTTTTATTTCAGGTTATTTACGACAAACGAGCAAGGAAATCACAACATCATCTTCAAAAACGAAACCACCTTGAGCAAAGAAAAGAGATTGAAATCTCCTTTTTTAGGTAAAATTTTCTATATTATAAAATTTATTATATTATATTTTTTATATGGCTACAAATGCATATGTGTTGTAACCCGATAATCATCAACTCTTGAAGTATAAATATTTATTATATTTTCTTATAATTCATATCTTTGTCTCTTTTTTTCTATTTCTTCCTTCTTATTTTCATTCTTTTTTTCATTTCTTTGCTCCCCTAAAATCCATCTCCTACCTTCACGCGGTGGGGAGTGAACAGTAATTCTGACTAACAGGAGCTCTGGTAAATATTGTTAGTATTTAGGGTGCTAATAAGAGATATTGTTTCATTTTTGTAATTTAAATAATAAATTTCGAAATCACATCTCATAAAAAGGAAAATGTCTGATTCATCCATCATCAAATAAAGGTAAAATATATTATTCATCAATCATTGAATAAAAAAGACAATTCCTCTCTCTTAGTCTTAATGGGTTGGAATTGGCCTGAAGGAGGAGGGGGAGGGGTAAAAAGAATTATCGTAAAAAAACGAATAAAATTCTCATCCCCGTCATTTTTGACGGGTTATCAACTAGTTATTTTATAATGTGCAATTAATAAAAATGAAGGTTTTATATATGCGTTTTTTAAATTAATGAAAAAATAATTTCCCTATACATAATTCGAATGTAGGTTTGAATACAAAAGTGTTCAAACCGGTTTTTAGAGGTTCGAACCGAACCGATATATTAATTTTTTACGAACCGAACCTGAACCTCGAACCGCTATTTTTATCCGAACCTGAACCCGAACCGATATTCGTTTCGGTTTAGATCCCTTGAAAAGAGAGACACCAATGTTTGATTTTTGGAACATGAACATTGGTATTAGATTATTCATTCTTATAAAAAATTTTAATTCAAAATAAAATATATTATAATAATTAAAGAACTTGCGGGAGAAGTTGAGATATATGGTCAGAAAATAATAAATATAGTGTCATTCTATTACAAAGTGTTTAGAACTACCTTCTCAAAATTGAATGAAACTTGGCATATTAATTATTTATGATGTAAATTTTCAGAGTTGTTAAAAGATACTTTTTAAATGGATCTAGATACAGATATATCGTCTAAAATAATATCTAGATACAGATATTTTAATCAAAAATCTATCTAGATACAGATATCACAT